ATATGCGTGTGTGTGGGGTGGGGGTCTTAAGAATAATTTTATCCCTCCCGAATAAGCCAGTAAGCAGCTTTATACGTGTGAACGCTCCACTAAATGTCCACCGGTGTAAGATATATCGCAACAAAATCGATCGGTGCAGCACCACGTGTGCCTCATGACGATCAGCGTTCTCAAAATGACAAATCAGTCTTACGATGAGATTGGTGCGATCAGAAGAGGAATCGTCTTAAAAATGGAATGATCGTCATCGACTGAAAACACAACTGTTGGATTCCCCCCCCCCCTTTTAAGAAAAGTTTATAAGCGAGTTGGGCACGTCGACACCACGCGTTTCACCCGCTCGAATATTACACAAAATAACCTCTTACTGTTGATGAACCCCGATTTTAGTGTTCGTACTTTTTTTTTAAAGATGTAAATCCAACAGACGTTTTTTTTTTACCAATTTCATTGCTGCATTATGAGAGGAAATACCCTAAAACGTCATTTCAAAAGTAGCCTGCATATCATGTTTCCGTGATTCTTGTTCGCCCCCCCCCCACCAATCAAAATAAATAAATAAATCGTGCTCACCTGAACAGCAGCATTCAAACCCCCTTTTCAGCCATGTTGGGCCTCCGTGTCACAGCTTGAAGGCACACCAAGTGACGTCACTACACGTGGGCACACACTCAATGTTGGCGCTTGCTCCAGGATGACTTGTTTACAATTTTTATAAATAAATAAATATATATATATATCAATTAACAAAGGTGAAACAGATCGGACATTTTTTTAATCCAATTTTTAAAGCTATTTCGAAAATGTATTTGAGTTATATTTGGATTTTTGTTTTGTAATCGTCATTAGTTATTTCTCTATATTTCCTTTCAATTCATTCTTCATTCATCCATCCAGTTATTTCAGGCACTGGCATTCGCCAGTGGAACAATGCAGAAGAGATAAGCTATGACATCGTTTGTTTACGACAATGCCCCCTCCCAAAAAAATAGACCAACATGCTTCAAATCAATGAGTTTCCACTTATGCTTGAAAGGGAGTGGCAAAAACAAAAAGGAGTTGTTGATTTTGCTTGGTCGTAATAGTGTAGCAGGAGAATTAGACAGTGACAACCACCAGCCCCCCCACCACCCGAGAATATAAAATGTGCCTCTACCAAATAATAATGCTGACTTTCGATTGACGCTTTCACAGACGTCTTTTCAGATGTTCTCTGTAAATAATGTGACACAATAATTAATGTTATTACCATGCATAATAATGTCAAACTGCGCTGTGTGCGTGTTTGTGTGTGTGCGTGCGTGTGTGCGTGTGTGTGTGTGCGCGCGAGCACGTGCATGCACTTTTAGGGGCTGGGCCCCATCGAGATGCTGCAGCGCCACCCGGCGGTAAGCATAAGGTGACAAAATGTGAGTCACAGGTGCTGCTGACAGTGCACGCAAGCGTCCTGTAGAGGGCAGCAAAGGTCCACACAATGGAAGGAAGCAACGCGCAGGTCGCAAGGCCTCCAAAAGGCGCCCGACGTTGCTTTCACGATTGTTGGGAAATTTGACACTTATAAAGAAGGAAGCAAACGGCGGTCTTTGAGCAAACACATCATACACGCCGTATGTAACTGTTATCGCTACCTGTTAGATACTCCGGGTTATGTTAACGCAGGTCAACAGCAAGCCAAACTCATTTGTTCATGAGCCAGGAAACTGAGCGTCTTGCTCCTCTATTGCGGTCGCCTTGACGGGGTACAGTGAACACCTGTGACATCAGCTCATTGAAATGCAGAGTGAAACTGGAGTGAACATTTCAAACATGCATTCACTTCTTGTACATAAATACAACACAAATCGTCTAGTGCCAAACAACAGACATAAATGCAGCTCTAAGTGTGACAAACAACGATAAACAATGCGTTTTCGCCATAACTTTTGTATGCTAATTCGCTCGCTAGCACTAGCTTAGCGGCATTGCAGCTTTGTACAGAGTGCTCCGAGGAAGCACGTTTCAAGGACAACAATTGAGGGAAAACTATCTCCGACGCAGATTTCTAAATACTTCTAAACACACAAACAGACTTACATCCATTGCTTTCGAAGGAACAGAAAGGAATATACCACAGGAGAACCAGCTAAATCGACCAGTCAGGCTTTCTGCGGCGACTCGTCTGACGAAAAACAACGTTTGCTACCCACAATGCATTGCAATTACCCACAATGCATTGCAATGAGATTTTTAAACACAATTACATTTTACGTGGAAAAACATGAATTATGACGTTTCAATTCAAGAAATGGTATAAACCCCTTTTTTAATTTTAATCTTAATGAAATGCCCCGAAACTTTTACTGTTGGCAGAATACCTTATACGTGCTAGTTTTTGTTGTTGTTGTTGTTTCGTTTTGCTGCTTTGTTCAATTTCAATTAGCGGAACGCAAAAAAAAAAAAAAAATGCCGACATCAACAGTCAAATTTTATTAGCAGTCATGGAAAGTACTTTAATTTAGCAATCGTCCGAGGCACGTTGCTCAAAAGGGGCGTGTCATATGCACATTTTCATATTTATGGTTGTTGGTTACTTGCTTACACGTCTCTTGAATTTGCTATACTATACTGGTTTTGGTAAAGTATATTGTTTTACAAAAAAAAAACATTTTTACCATTAAAATGCCCACAAAATATTCCCAATTTAGGTCACGCATTGAACAGATTTCCATTGTTATCATTTCAAATTCAAAAAATTCAGCACCTTTCAGTTTACGTGCCAAAAATTCCGACTGACCAAAATTCATCATTTTCTCCACTCCAATTCAGACCTGAAAAATCGCAATTTGTCCAAAGTGACAGCTCCAACTAAACAGATTCAGAGCCTTCCCATTTCAAATTCAAAATGTTCAATTCATTCAATGACACTTTAAACAAAATCATTACATTCAATATCATTTCACATCATTCGATATCGTTGAGTATCTTTCCACATCATTCGACATACTTCCATATTTGTCACATTTCAGCCTTCAGATGCAAGAATCAACAGTTTTCTAGTGTGCTGTGCATTTTTGTATGAAATGGTATGATGTGTGGTTGGGTTCCGCATGTCGCTTGAGCTTGATCCCTCGCCTCAACCACGACACAATCAACGCAAAGTGTGCGCGTGCGTGTGCGTCCGCTGTTCGATATCGATACAGGCAGGCGCGCGCCCACGTGGGCTCCGCCACCCAAACCCTCTTGGGTGGTCGTCCCTGCCGAGTGTGTGGGGTGTGTAGGGGGGCGCGCCTTGGTGGAGGGCTTACAAAGGAGGAAGATGTCGAGCATTTGTTCCGCGCAGTCGCCATTTTGCGTTTGATTGACGCCCAATGAGCGCCACAATGTGCGTCACGTTGGCAGGATAAATCCCGGCTTGTTCCGTGTTGTCATGGCTCTCAATGGGAGACCCCCGCAAAGCACCCTCCCCCCACCACCACCACACCACCACGCCTCCTAACCCTCCCCAAAGCGATATTTCTACACGTGTGATGCGATTAGTGTTAAACACGCCTTCACATGCTGCGAATTCCCATTTCGTTCTTCGAGGTTGGAGTCACTTGAAGACTTTCCCTTTCCAGGGGTGTGCAAACTTTTGCGCGCAAGGGGCACTTTTGTTTTTTTAACATGGACAGGAGGGCCACGTTCTCTGAGTTTATTTGTTTATTTGGAATTTACACTTTAATTTATTTATTTTAAATGTTAAATTTGATTTTAAATTGTCAATTGGTCAAATGTTTTTTTTTTGTACGAATGCTGGATGTTTATTTTTATTTTCATTACATGAAATTGATCAGCTGTTTTTAAAAATAATGATAATTGTGACTTATATAAACGTGTTACCCTTTATTTTTAATGTTACGATTTACTTTAAATGAATCATATCAAGTATAAAATGTTCAAAGCCCATGTAAAATGGCTTATGATGTATTTTTAATCATGATTTAAAATGATTTGATTAGATTAAGCATTATTTAAAACACTCAATGTATATGTCAATTTCTTTCGTTGCAATAAATGAACGGTTTATTTTACGAATGCTGTACAATATATTAACGTATTTAAAACATTCTATGCAAATAGAAAATTGTTAATTTTACCAAGATATTCGTATTTGATTCATTGCAATATATTAACTAACCAAATATTTTTAAAGCAAAGCAATGCAATACATCTTATCAGATCCTACAAAGTTCCTATGACACATCTGCATTGTTTCAATATATAGGTAGACAGATAAGAAAAATGTAATATTTGTGAACCATTTATTAGCAGTTTAGTTGAATCACACACACACACACACACACACACACACACACACACACACACACACACACACACACACACACACACACACAAAATCAAATTTTCTCCCAATTTTGAGACACGATTTTTGTTAATCCGACACCCTTAAAACTGCTGGGTCAAACGTAATCCAATTTTGGTCACTTTTTTTAATGGCTGACTGCCACTTGGGACAATTTGAAACAAAAAAAAAACGTTGATTAAGAACAACAGAAAGTTGGCTCAAATTCGCCAAATTTTGAGCCAAAACACAATGAAAGCCCTGCCTCATTGTGGCGTCACAGCACACCTTCAAAGACAATGCACTGAAAATTTCACCAAATAATCCAAAACCGTTCTCGCCATTCTGCCGAAATTCATCCCCAAGTCCAACCAAATCCTTAAGTGCCTCATTGCGTGCTACCAACTTGCACAAATTAGTTGGACCAAGTCGTTAATTGCTCACTTTATATGCAAATTCTCCACACGTTGTTTGGGCTGCAAGGAGGGGAGGGCACTGGGATGTCAGGGTGGCGAGGGGCGTGGTCATTGTGTGTGTGTGTGGGGGATGTCACTCGCCACCCAAGACGGTGATTGATGGGGGCGGCAATTAGCGTGACGTGTTGGGACGAGCGACGCGTCTCCCGATGACTTGTGGCTTTCCTGCGCTCATTCGTCACCACCTCCCGCAACCAAGTGACACCACCGCCGCCCCATTCATCATAAAGAGGGGCGCGGCAGGGAAGGTGGGGAGGGGGGACTTATATAAAACCCAGGATGTGTTTATGTAAACACTGTTGGACCAGCCCGTCAAGTGGACATGCTGGAATCCCTTCAAGTGCTTACTCTTTTTTTCCCCTCCCTCTCCTAATTATTTATTTGCGCAGAGCAAACACACGGTGGAGGTGGATTTTTTTTCTTTTTTTTTTACTTTCTTCTTTTTGGGGTGTGCGCCCACATGGCAGCGCCCACCAAGTTCAGCTTCTCCGTCCGGAGCATTTTGGACCTGCCCGAGCGCCACCCGAAGACTGTGCCCGGGTCCTCGTCCCCTTTCTCGGCCGCGCGGTCGCCCTTGGACCCCCTCACCTCCATCTCCGCCATCTCGTCGTCTTCCTCCTCCTCCTCCTCTTGGATGCTCGACTCGGACCCAAGCTCCTGCATGTGTGAGTGTATCTTTTTTTGAGTGGAGACATGCATGAAAAGATGGACAGGCTGACGGATGGCGGCAGAAAAGTTTGGCAATCACAGAGTTCCTTCATCCGTGACTCTCGTCAGTCAGAGTAAAAAAATAAAATAAAATAAAAATAGGCATGTGATTATCACCTGCACAAGGCATCACTTATGTTGTGATGCACAGTCCAGAGAGCTGCATTACACAATCATCATCATCATCATCATCATCGTCAACAACAACATAATTAGAATTGTTGTGATCATTATTATGTTAAACTAAAGTCAAAAGTAAATCGATCCGTTACTTGACCAAAGTGCAGGTTATTTTTGGCCCAACTCGAGTCTTAGAATTGGATGAGTGCAGCCATCGAAATGGATATTGTGGAAATTGTAGAGATTTTTATCTTTCTCGAAAATGACGATTTTTTTTGGGGGGGGGTCTCAGAATTGTTTATCGGTAAAAAATAAAACATTGATCTTTAATTGATTTTTTTTTCAAAATAAAAATTTCCTGGCTCGATAAATGCTATTTAAAAATATATTTTTGTTGTTTTTTTACAAAAATATCTGCAATTAGACAATTTATTAACATAAACAACTGTCATGTTAATATTTTTTAAACTTTGTTTGACTATTTTTTTAGACTTGAAATTTTGAGTTCACCAATTTATATATATTTTTTTCAATGTCCCTTATTTTCAGTGTGATGCTTGGCAACAACACGACTTGCTCTACCTTCAAAACTACTGGGTCAAAAATTATCAAATTTTGCTCAGAAATTGGACCGGCCTGCATTGGGGTCAATTTTTCTGCTGAGACTTGAGATGTTTCGTCTCAAATTTCTGGGTTGTTTTGTACCCAAAAAAGGTTTGGGATACTTTGTACATTTTTCACCCAGAAGTTTTAATAGTGTGTTTTTTAACCCCCAAAAAGGGATTTGGAATTGGAATGGGGGGGGGGGGTTAAAATTAGTGTCAAAACTCAACTTTTTTTTTTGCATACAAAATAAGCTTTTTGCCCATTCACGGTGAATTAATTTTTTGATATTTTTAAAAGCAGATCTTGGTTTGCTTATTTATCACTGTTGGACCTCTGAATGACAAAATTAATTTCTTGGAATGAATGCCATTAAAAAAATAAAATCACAACTTTCAGTGAGTAAACTTATTCACGAAAAGCTGACTTGTGTCACCCCCCTTCCCCTTTCCCACCTCGCCGCAGCCTGGGATGAGGGCAGCAGCCTGGAGGCGTCGCCGGACTCCACCAAGCCGGACGAGCCGTCGCCGGACGCCGATCCTCGGTGCGCCCCGGCAGGGTTGACGGCGGCGGAAGCAGCCAAGAAGCAGAAGAGCAAGAAGCGTCGCGTGTTGTTCTCCAAGGCACAGACGCTGGCGCTGGAGCGCCGCTTCCGCCAGCAGCGCTACCTGTCGGGCCCCGAGCGAGAGCAGGTGGCCCGCCTGCTCAGCCTGACGCCCACCCAGGTGAAGATCTGGTTCCAGAACCACCGCTACAAGACGAAGAGGGGGCGGGGGGCGGCGCACGACCCGCAGGAGATGCAGCCTCCGCCGCCGCCGGCGCCCCCGCCGCCGCTGCTACGCAGGCTGCTGGTGCCGCTGCTGCTCGGCGACGGGAAACCCTTCCGCGCCGCCTCATGCGTGCTGGACTGCTCGGGAGCCTCCCCGAGGACGCTCCGCTGGCCCCTGGGCGCCTACCCGGGCCTACCGGGCCTCCATCCGCCCGCAGCCGTGGCTCTGCCTCCGCGCCATCAGCACTTGGAAAGCCCCGCGGCCTCCAGGGTCGCCTGGGCGGACTTGTGGGGCGACCCGGTCCATTTTGCTTCGTTCAAGTGACAGGAACCAACTCCGAACAAACGCAACTTATAGATGATGGGAGATCTCTTTGCACATTTTCTTTCGGCGTATTTCCGCTACTTAATTTTGTTTATTTTAAATGCTGTTCACATTTTTGTAACTGTGGTAGCCTGTAGATCTTTCTTTTTTTTACTATCTGGTGCTATATGTATGTTATTTCGTTTGCTGAATGATGCTCAGTATTATGCAAATTAGCCATCAATATTATAGAATGGATGTTTAAAGGGAAAACGTCTTCCTGAAGCAAAATGTTCCATAAAAGGTTCCATTATTCCTCTTGTAAAGGAATGCATAAATAAACCATTTGTATATGCTGTTAAACACACACACACACACACACACGCACACACACACACACACACACACACACACACACACACACACAGCCGACTTGTATTTATTGGAGCTAAAACTGTTGGAACAACAAAGCAAGATTTTTGCTCCAAAACAATTTTCGGAGTGTTTTTTAACTTCTGATTTTACGCTGGAGGAAAATTAAACTTGTCAAGTCGTATTTTTGTTGTTGTTGAAAATGCGGGAAAGCTCATTTTCACATCAACTTCAACTCTTTTGTTGAATTCACCAACTTAAAACTTTATTGACTGGAAATTTTGAGTTCACCAACTTAATTGTGTCACCAAATAATTAATGTCCTTAATTTTCAGTGTGATGCTTGGCACCAATACGAATTGCTCCATCCTCAATTAGTGTCAAAGCTCAACATTTTTTTTTTTTGCATACAAAATTACCGCTTAGCCCTTTCATTGTGTTTTTTTTTTGGGGGGGGCACCACAGAACATGCTGTAACGAGGATTAATGAAATCAAAATATCACGATTGGTTAACCCCCCCCCCCTCAAAATGGTTTAATAGCCTTCAATGTGGTCTCCTGAGAGGCTTTTCTGATGTTAAAAAAAACTCATTATGCAGCTTAAAAACTGTGCAAACACTTTTTTTAATTTAAGGGAAAAGGGAGAACTTCATCGAATGAGGAGTTGGCGAGGCACCCTGTTTGTGTCTGAGCCTCGAACACTTCCTTTCAACTCGAGTCATTCTCTTGCCACTTTGAAAAGACTTGCAAAGGCTTCAAAGTCTGGAGAAAGTTGACTTCGTTGAAAGCAGCGTGACTCAAATTTTGCTCGAACGCCGAAAAGAACCAGCGGTTGGATTAAAATGAATTCCCCGCTCGCGGTAACGGTTAGTTGGATGGATAAATACTTTCATAAGCGTCTAGTGCACCGATGTCAAACTCGAGGCCCACGAGTGTGGCCCACGACATATATAAGCTCGCAATTATTTTTTAACTCTTTTCAATGATTTCCTTCCTTTTATCTGCTATGCTAACATTTGACTCGAGTTCCGGAAAGAAGCGCGGGTTGAATAGAATGAGATGTGTCGTATTTAAAGTAAAATCTTGTTCTTTTTGGGGGTGGGTTGGGGGGCGGGGCGTCTGGAAACTTCTTGCCCAAATGTTACCCGAGAGCCGAGGAGAACTCTGGGATATGTAGAAAACATTGTTTTATTTGAAATAAAATTTGTAAGCTTTTGTTAAATTGTTAATTTTATTATCATTTTATGTTTGAACATTACAGTATTGTCTTTGATGTTAAAGTTACCTCAATTATATTCTCTTTAATAATTTTTTTCAACATGTTTATGTTGAGAGCATCTGATTGGCTGAAGGAAACAGGAAGTGTTTTAGTAGCCGGAAAAGGAGTTGTCTTCTCGAACGTGCTCTGGTGCTGTCGTCTTTTTTTTTCCATTTCAATAAAACTGCATTCAAATGATTCCATCTCTCCTTTTGACGTTCGTAAAGTCGAGCCATCCATTCGGAAACAACGAACCCCTCAACTTACATGTCTTTTCCATCTTGAGTAGACTGGAAAGTCTTTTTCGCGAGACCGCCATTTTAATCCGCGACGCTAAAACACTACGCGAGAGGCGGAGAGGAGCAATACGGAGAACAAGTGTATTTTTCATCACCGAGAGACTGCGAGGGAAGCACCGCGTAATGAGTGTTTAAAGTCATGTGGGTGTTAATGCTGGATGGCGGTGTTGCGCGGGGTGCAGACGGGGAGGGGGTCGGGTGGTCTCGTGTTTTCCCGCCCCCCCAGTAATGTTGTTTGCTCGTCCTGTGACCCCGCAGCCTATCGTCCTTGTCACCTGGTCCTTTGTGGCCCTCGCCAGGGCCACCTTGCATCACATATGGAGGGGAGGGGGGGGATCTTTTTGTCTCCCCCACCCCTGAATGGACCATTGTCCCCCCCCACCGCCACTTTTTCTTCCCGAGGTGGGGGTCCGCAAGGGAGCGAGACAAAATGTTTAGTGTTTCAATTTGCCTGATGTTTAATCAGCCCTTGCGAGCAATTTATGAGCACGGAGGCCACAATGCCGTTGTGGGTGTGAGCACGATGGGGGCTTTTGCGGGGGGCGGACAAAGAGCAGCTTTGAGGGGTTGCCATTGGTGTCTTAAAGTTGCCCCCAAGAATTGGCGGCGGCCAGCTCATCCCGTCCTGCTTTTGACTCGCTCGTTTCACACCAGTTAACTGGCCGGGATGCTAGGAAGTTGGAGGAGTTAGTGGATATCGTGTCACTCGGTAGCCGAAGAGAACCAACGGTAGAGATACCGTTACAGCGATAATTACTTGTTGGGTAGCAGAATTAAAAAAAAAAAAAAAAAATCAACAACGGGTTAACTTGTTATATCGAGGTTGGCTTGCTTCAAGCATGCGTCATGGAAATGTTACTCGAGGGCCGATGAGAACCAGGGATAATTTTGTTTCGGTTCAAACGCCTTGTAGAGAAGTAAAAAAAAAAAAAATCGTCAAAAGTGTTCATTTGTTAGGTAGAGGCTGGTTTGCTTCATGCTGTGTCACAAAAAAATTGTGATCTGAAAGCCGAGGAGAACCTGGGATGGTGAGATTCAGTTACAATATTTTGTGGAGCGGTAAAAAAAAAAAAAAAGCTGTCAAAAGTTTAATATGCGAAGACTGCCTTCCTCCAAGCTTTGACATGGAAATTTAGTGTCGACGAGATCCAGGGAGAATTTGATTTTGTTGCAGTTAAAACTACTTGTGGTGATCCAGTGGTTAGTGCGTTGACCTCATAGTGCTCCGGCCTCCCTGAGTGGAGTTTTCATATTCTCTCCGGGCCTGCGTGGGTTTTCTCCGGGTACTCCGGTTTCCTCCCACATTCCAAAAACATGTATGGCAGGCTGATTGAGCACTCGAAATTGTCCCAATGTGTGAGTGTGAGCGCGGAGGGTTGTTTGTCTCTGTGTGCCCTGCGATTGGCTGACAACCGGTTCAGGGTGTCCCCCGCCTACTGCCCGAAGACAGCTGGGATAGGCTCCAGCACCCCCTACGATCCTTGTGAGGACAAAATTACTTGTGTAAAAATATATATTTTTTATACGTAGAGTCTGTCATGCTTCAAACCGTGTCATGAAAATGTTACTGGAGAGCCGAAGAGAAGCAGGGAGATTGATATACTCTTGCAGTTCAAGCTGATACTGTAGTAAGAAAGCAAAAAAAGAAAAAAAAATAGAATGAAAGGTTTTCACTTGTGTAGCATTGTAATACTATGTCCACCAGATGGCGCCCAAACACTGCTTTTGCCAGTGCTCAACGTCAGCGGCCTGCAGTAGTGCTTTTCTCCGTGAGGGGGCGCAAGCTTACCACACATGTTTTTGCACACTGGCCCGCGTGTGACGCAACGAGGAAATTTGACCTGTTTATTTTTGTTGAGAAAATCACACTCAGGGTCATTATTGATAAATCCCCCCAAAACATATTACAAATATTATTACAATTCAATGTTCACAGTTTCTAATTTTTCTTTGGTGTTTGTAGTTCAAATGAGGAAAAAAAAAACCGAGTCAATTTGCACCTTTTTGAAATTAAATCGACTTTTTTTTTTCAAGATTATAAGTCATTTACAAATAGAAAACGATGTTTATCGTATAAATACATTTGCAGACTATAAACGATAACAATGTATTTTATACCACGACATATTTTTAAATCAACAAATGTGTTGTTTTATGTTGAGAATACATTGTCGATTTTAAAATAAAAATGGATTTTATATTGTAAGACTATTTTCTGTTTTAAATGATAAATCAGGTCATTTCTATATTTGAATCGTAAAAATGTTCGTTGATTGCTACACGTCATAAAAGAACGACATTACAAAATATGCGTTGCATTTTCAAATTAAAGTTATGCTGAAGAGATATATGTTTCAATAATGTATTTCATATGGTGAAAATAAATGGTAGCATGTTGTGTTATTTAACATAAAAAAATATTCCAAGATGACAGCGTATTGTTTTTCAAATTTTTTGAAAAATTGTCCGGAAAATTGATTTTTAGAGTACACTGAAGAAAAATGGAGTCTGTTGAATCTTACTCCATTTTATTTTGTTAAGTGTTTTCACGAAACAAAATCATCTGGAGGCAGACACACATTTTGAAGTGGAGTCATAGTCGTCTTCAAGAATGGATCTGGATCCAGATGATTTTATTTGGAAATCAAATGGAGCACATTCACCACTCTATTTTGTGTCCGTGTGTGTGTGTGTGTGTGTGTGTGTGTGTGTGTGTGTGTGTGAGGGTAGGAGGGGGCAACTGTCCACTTGATTTCCCAATTTCATCGCCGGACTCACTGTCACACGCGCACGTGTCCGCAAACAAACAAACACGGTGGGCCTGCGAGGGCACGAACACTCATGGAGTGGGCGCGGGGGAGGGGGGGGGGTATTCAAAACAAAGCGACTTTGAGGAGCGAGTGTGTTCTCCTCTCAAGTCCTGCCGAAGACGAAGAACGAAGACGTCGACGCCAGATAGCCCACTGGCCGCTTTCGCGACGCTCATCAAGAGGCCCTCAGCAGTCAGTGCAGTTAATCAAGTGCGAGCTGACGTCACCGCAGACCCCGCCCCCTCCTCCCCTCCACCCCCTCTCCCTCCTCCGCCTTAAACGCGCGCTGCGTGGACCTCCGGAGCCAGCCACGGACAGCTCCCACGCCAGCCAATTAGCAACGACCAGGAGCACTTGCCACAACTACGAGAAGAGGGACATTTATTATTATTAAAAAAAAAAAAAAAAAAGAAAACAGGAGAGAGAAGAACAAGAGGAACAGGAGACAGCCCAGCCCAGGACAAATAATGTCGATGAGCCCCAAGCATACGACCCCCTTTTCCGTGTCCGACATCCTGAGTCCGCTGGAGGAGAGCTACAAGAAAGCGGCCGCCGCCGCCGCTGCCATGGAAGCCGCCGCCGCCGCCGCCGGCGGAGGAGGCGCAGCGGCGGCGGCCC